CATGCATGGCCAGCGGTTGTGCGACCTTTCGCTATCTAACCGCTGTGCTTCCGTTAGCTTCTTGTTGTCCGTTAGCAACGGACAACGGCCGTGTAGCCAAGTCTGGAATCTGCTGAGAGCAAGCTGCTCCACATCTAGACATCGTCATCCGCTCTCATCGTGTTGTACACATCTTGCGATTATTTCGTGAAATTGGGCAGGTGATATGGTGCGCACCTCGCGTTGCACTGGTTTGACAGCCTTCCGTGATAAAGCTTGCCAGTTTAACTCTGGGCTGACCTTCACGTAGAAACGCGAGTATTTTGGCAGGGAATGTTGCGAAGTCAAAGGAGAGGGTTATATATATCTTAGTACTGGGAATACCTTTAGGTATGGACAGCCCTCAACAGATTGATTCCACGGTACTGCGTAACTCGCTGGATACTATTTTGCTCAACATTCCGAATGTCTACTTGTAATTATCTCCTTACCGTAGGTGCTGTCGTAAGAAAAAAAAACGGCCTGACTTCAAGACCCAACTTCAAAAAATATTCCGAGTGTTCCAAGGATGTATTTTAAAGTCATGCAAGAACGAAAACCTTGTATTTACCAAAAGTTATCCCGCGTACTCGAACCCGGCTAGCATCCGACACTTCCCAGTCGTGGCGAAAATCTTGTAGACGATTGAAACTCCTCGAAGACGAAGACCACGTTCGTTTTCCGTTTCGATCACACTGCTTCCTCGTCACTCTCATCAATTCTTCTCCCTATTCTGCGAACCCCGGTACCAGAGTTCGTAGAATGTGAAACATTTTACGATGTTGATTTTCGAGTAGCTATCATCTTCTCTTTACCATCTTCTTTGCTCGGATGTTCCTCTTTAAGATTTGCCGCAGCCACTCTTTCTTCGAACCGAAAGTCTTTATCATTTGATGTTCCAGCATTCGCCAGCTAAACACAAGATTCCCATATACTCTTCTCAGATTCCAAAAATCTTGCTTCCTCACCCCGTATTTTTCACGTGACTTTAGTCTGCTTGCATGTGGCAGCAACTCCATCGGAATACACTTCCGACACAGACCAGCAGCAATTGCTGGGTTGTCATTCTCGCATTGACAGCAGAACCCCGCCAATTCAGGCTCACATTGTTCATAGCGATCACCCGTTATTCCATGCAACTTGGTAAGCGTCTGGTTGCTCAGGAACGAAAGGATCACCTCGAAGACACTCTCGTTAAGGATACTGAAGTTGTAAGAGCGAGTTTTCTTGGCTGTGGCCTTGTTGTGAGTCCGTTTGTGGGTGCATTTTATTCAGATGAGAAGTTATGCCACGCGTAGAGAACTTCTTCTCACAGTAGTCGCAAATAGCAGTCCGCTTTGTAGCTTGGTCATCTTCGTCACGCAAGTGCTTTGGCATTGCACTGTCTTTGCTTCCCGCGTCGCTAGTGATACCACTTGAGTCCCGGGGCGTGTTTTCGAAGTGAGGGGGCTTTGAAAACGATCTCAAGCTGTCAAGTGATTCGACAGAGAAATTGAAACCCGTTGGAATCAACTGTGCATCCATTTCGAAAGTTACCTTGCATTTACTATGTGAGACGAGAACTCCGTCCAACGCCCACAACGAGGATCCTTGGCAAACTTGCCAGATACAGTATTTTTTTTTTTTTAAGAACGTTTTTTTTTAGCCATAATGACAACTATCGGTCGAGTTCCCCTTGGTCTTCAGCACTTTCCAATAATTACTCATACGTTGCACGATTGCCTCGAGGGTAGATCTTGCTACCTCATGCAGGTTCCCCGTATTTATTTCAGATCTGGGAACGGGTATTCTTCACTATTAGCTTAGTCGAAGAAATGTCGCCATCTTAGGTGACAGCTCGCGACTAGCAGCAATCACAACCACCATTTCCGAAGTCACGTCGCTTGGCGCACAGCAATTCTAATGGAAAATCACGCACGCGCCGCGATCAACGACCGAGCGTCTGAATCGACACCAACACAACGTGCAAAAGTGTTTTCAGTTTGCGAGTATTGTGACAAGCAGTTTACTACACGAGGGCTCTCCCTTCATCAGAAGAAATGCGCTGAGAAACAAGCTCATGACAAAGCTGAAGCCAAGAAAACCCGCTCCTTCAAATTCTGCATCGTTAACGAGGCGATTTTCGAAGAAATCCTGTCATTCTTGAGCAACCAGACACTCACTAAGATGCAAATGATCACTGGAGATCACTACCAAGAATGTGAACCGGAATTGTCCAGATACTGCTGCAAATTCAAACCAAGTAGTTGCTGACGGAGAAAAGCAGAAAGTCTCCACCATGATGTACTGTAGGTCGAATACCACAATGCGGTTTTTTGTTTGCTGAGTTCTCTGGATATTTATATCCAGAGTCAGCTTCGGAAACCCTCGGATATCCTGTATCATATTATATATTATATTTGGTTACTTTTGTAATAACTCAATACCTTGAATTCACAAAAGAAGA